AAGAAGAAGAAGAAGAAGAAGAAGAAGAAGAAGAAGAAGAAGAAGAAGAAGAAGAAGAAGAAGAAGAAGAAGAAGAAGAAGAAGAAGAAAGAGTTCACAAATGTAGCTGTTTACTGAGGGCCTGAGTTCAATTCTCAGTATCAAAAACTAACTAAACCTCAACAAAACTAAAACCACACTTGAACACTTAGGAGATACTGATCCAATGGCGGGGACCACGTGACAAGAGTCTACGGGAAGAACAAAGGCATTCTGGGAAGGGGATGGGTCCAGGTGCTCTGGCTGCACACCTGGGTGACTGTGTCTATCTGGGCTTTCCTGGACCAGGAGGTAGCAAGGACGGCACCATCCCCAGTCATGGCTCATCGCTTGGGAGGCGCACATCTTTGTCTGGAGTCCTGGCTTTTGACACATGCGCCTGTGGCCACAGTTGTAATGTGTTCGCCTCGTCCACGCTGACCCCCTCGAGGGCTGAGGCCTGTCCGGCCACTTAGAATAATTCTACCTAACTCAGCTGCCTGTGCTGTCCACCCTCCACGCATTCAGAGTGGCTGCCCTCCACCTGCTTGTCCCCAAAGTCAGCAACACCGTAGTCTGTGACTCCGCATGGGCTCAAGAAGATGCCATTTCTCTCCACCACCCCAGGTACCCACCTGGGCACCTGTGCAGCCACTATCCCTGTGCCAGAGAGATCTCCACGGCAGAGGCCCACTGTGTACCTGGCATGGTTTTTCCATTTCTTTCTTTTTTTTTTTTGGCGGAACCAGGGATTGAACTCAGGCCCTTGAGCTTGCCAGGGAAGCGTTTATTCCACTGAGCCATCTCCCTGGCCCTCTTACTTTTCATATGGTTTAGTTTTGGACCTTAATAATGAATACTTTCATGCCTTGTAACAAAAAAAAAAAAAAAAAAAAAAAAAAATCCTTGTCCCAGCTCCTGAGCCAGAAAGACAGGCACTAGGACTTTTTCCTGTAAGTTCTAAACTTCTCTCGCGGCAGTCAGATTCTGGGGCCTTCCGCAGTTGGTGTGAGCCCAGATGCAGGCGTGTAGGAGAGTGAGTCCAGGACAGACGGGGATGTAATGTCTCAGGTGGGGTCACCCAGGTGGTCCTACACATCCCTCAGGCTCCTCAGGAGCTGAGAGCCACACTGTGATCAGAGGTGTGGAGGAGGCAGGGTGGGCAGGTGGTGCTTCTGGCCATGATGTAGGGGCCTGGTGGCTTCTGAGGGCTGCTGGCAGCTCAGCTCCAGCCCACACAAGTGTACTGCCCAAGGCCTGAGGGAGTAGGGCAGGATTTTCCCCTGGAGCCTCAGACAGGGTCTTCTCCTAGCCTCACACCTTCCAGTCCCATGTTGTGGTGGATACATTGAGTCAATTTGATAAGTGTAATTAAGTTAACTCAGCTGGGGACCACTGATGTTTACTTTGTAAACATCCTGAGCCTGTGGAGAAGAGGGCAGGAGAGGGTGTCAGTGCCCTACCTGCCCTCTAGCCTGCATACTATACAAAGCAGAAGAGGCTTGTTTTCTCTTCTTTTGCTCTTGTTGCTCTTGCTGTCTTCTGCCACCTCGAGCTGTTGCCTTCTGCCTTGCCACTCTGCCTCAGAGCCAGCTGATTGGGGACTGAAACCTCCACAAACCGTGAGCTAAATAAAGCTTCCCTGTCTTAATTTTCAGTGATGGGTATTTTGTCTCAGCAACGGGAGAAAAGTAGCAGAGGCACCCCAGAAATGTCAGATACTGAGTTAGCACCCTCCCTTCCCTTTGGCTTGCCAGTCCTTGCTCCTCTTCCTCCCTCCCTCCCTCCCTCTCTCTTTTCTTTTCAGAGGGAGGTCTCACTGAGTTGCCCATGCTGCTCTCCACGCCCTGGCTTAAGCGGTCCTCCTGTCTCAGTCTCCCTGAGATGGACAGAAGAACCCAACAATTCCTCTTTTCCTGTGTGATGGGTGTTTCCAGGGGAATGGTGGAGCAGAGAAACAGGCAGAAGGAAAAAGAGAAAGGAGCTTTATTTTCTTTGAGGACATGGGAGAGAATGTGGGGAAGGTTGAGGAATTCTCTCTCTCTCTCTCTCTCTCTCTCTCTCTCTCTCTCTCCTAGACAAATGGAGGCTGAGGCTTTTATGACCTTTTACCAGGGGAGGGATTTGAAAGGCATGTTTAGATATACTTGAGAAGCTGATTGGGGCTCTTCCCTGAGGCAGCGGGAAGGGTGAAAGGAAATTGTGTCCTGGGCTAAGTTGGAGAAGAAGGTGGAGGTGGTCCTGGGAGACAGGCCTTTGTTTTAAGGGCATGAGCCATATTAGACGACCACCACCATGATTTCAGCAATTCATACAGGGCCAGAACCTATCCCTGTGCAGGCTGAGATAGGCATGGCTTGACAGTGTCTGTCATGTCCCTGTCCATTGCATCCCTACTCCAATGGAATGGGACAACTTGCTTCAGTGTCCTCCTTGCTGTTGCCCCACGGAAGACAGGAGGGGACAGCTGGCATGGTCAGATCAGGGAGTGAGGGAGCTGGGGCATTCCCATCACCACAGCTGGCCTTCCAGAAGATTCCCTGGGTTTAGCCCCAGCCCTCATTGGATGGTTGCCATGGCAGCTGAGACTGTCCAGAAGCCCTGTGCCCATCATAGACCTGTGCTTGGACCAATCATGGGCCTGCAGCTGCTAGTGCAGCAGCACTGCGCACGCGCATCTGGGTCAACCTAGGAGGGCTCCCTTCAGGAGCCTTAATGTAAAGACCTGCTTTGGCGGCCCTATAAACCAGTGTATGATTTGTTTCTTGAGAAGAATGATCTCCGGAAGTCCTGAAAATCTGCTTGGGATTCTTAATCCTGAGCAGCATGGACAGAGCAGTTGGTCCAGAGGAAACAGCAATGAGCCCTGAGGGCTGTTAGCCGCGGAGAGCTCTGGAGAAAAACGGCCCACGGCCGGCAGGAGCGTGGACCCATGGCGTCCCACTTAAATCAGATGGTGGCAGCTGGCAGCAACAGAAACCAGCACCAGCTGTGCCAACTGTTGGCATCCAGTGTTATCTGGTGCCATCAGGGCTGCTGGTGGCACTGCATTTTGCTGATTCATGATTTCCATCTGAACTGAGCATAAGGACCCTAGACTGACTGGCAACGCCGGGAGTTGCTGGGCGGGCAAGTGCTCAGTGGCACCTAGAAGGAGTCTCTTAGTGATGATCTTATTTTGAAGGTGCAGAACAGCCTCTATGGAAGTTATTTCTCTGCAAAGTTGGGGCTGGAAGTATTCAAATCAGTTCAAGTGCTCTGAGTGCTGAGGACCTGAGGCCCAACTAACGTGACTTCATAATAAGGATTTGTTTATTCAAGTAATAGGAAACCCAGAGAGCAGCCTCATTTTTCTTAAGTGCAGAGGTTCAACAGTGGCACCACACACTCATCTTTCAGGTTACCAGTCCTCAGCCAGCAGGCCTCACAGTCAGAGGATGGCTGCTTGAGCTCCGGACATCACAGACAGGTCCAACAGTAACCAGGAAAAAGAGGCATAGTGACTTCCTTGTCTGCTTGGGTAAGAAAGGAAGTCATACCCAGAAGCCCCTTGCAGGTCTCCTCGGGCCTCACTCCTAAAGCAACTCTGGGGTCGTTGTGCTCTTAGAGGTAAGACCTCCAAGATGAATTCTGAACCCTAAAATGGGGCCTGTTAGAAATGTGGGCTGAGGTTGGGCTATGGTGGCTGGATCTTTGCTGCCACTTCACCCTGCAGTGGCTGGCCTTGGAATGCCACAGAGCAGTGTGTGGGTGGGGCATTCTCCTGTTGCCCAGGTGACCACAGACACTGGGTGTGGAGGGAAGGAGGCTGGTTGGGAGGGGGCACGGCACATGGGAGAACGCAAGCAAAGTTTGCATGGCACCCACCTTGTCCCTGAGGCCGGGAGCCGATCAGAAGCAGGGGTGGAGAATGGTGAGGAGAGCACTGCCTACCAGAGCCAGCAACTCCGAGAGCCAGGTGGGGTGACATCAGGCCCTGGCGACCCAGAAGTGGCGCTTCCCCTGGAGGAGGTGGCCAGGGAGAAGCCCCTGAAGGCCCTGGATGCAGACAAGGTGCTCTTAGAGCCCCAGGTGGCTCTGGACCACGACTTGGAGACAGACATTTCCTTGAGGTGGGTGGAGGGGCCAAGGCCGGGGTCGGTGGGCAAGACACCAACAGTCCACAGCTTAAGGACGGAGAGGCTGGTTTTCCTCAAGAGTTTCTGGAAGTTGCAGCCTGGAGCTGGCTGGCTTCAAGGCAAGGCAGCGCACGGCACGGGGCCCAGAGAACCAGAGCTGCTCAAGGCGCACAGGAGGCCGAGAGACAAGGGCGGATGGGGGGGGCAGGATGACCCCTCCAGGCCACGGCCTCAGGGACGCTCTCCTCCCAGACCCCACCTCTTAACAGCCAGTCAGCTACACCCCCACAACCCGGTCCCTTTTGCAAGGTCACACCTCCAAGGACCTGAGGCTCTGGGGGAGATTCAGAAACCATCACAGGTCTTCTCTGGGTCTGGTATACAGAAGGTGCTCAATAGACACTCGTGGGATGGCAGGTATTACCGTACTTGGCTGCAGTCTCTCTCCAGCAGGGAGAGCTGGCCGGGTTCTCTTTCACAGAGAAAGGCGTGGGGGCTTCGGTGGCTAGTGGCCTGGTCACTGCCACTGTCTCCCCCACAGCCGGCTGTCCATCACTGAGCGGTACCCCGACACCCGCACAGCGAGGGGCAGGAGGCATCGGCGACTGCAGGAGCTGGCAAAGCCCAAGACGGACTGGCAAGTAGTTAGGGACAGGTGAGCCAATGCCCTGAAACCTTCCCTGTTCTCCTGTCCCTGCTCAAGCTGTCACCACCGATGTCATCTCAGGGCTTCGGGGCAGGGCTCTCGGGGGCTTCGGGGAAGGTGAGAGAGGTCAGGATGCTGCAGGTGGGGACTTTAGGGGCTCTTGGGTGAAGGACAGTGAGGCGCCTGCCGGGGAGCAGGGGCCACCCCAAGCCACAGGGGGGCTGGGGCCGTCTCCTCGCAGGCCGGGGTACTGCTGCAAGGGCTTCGTCTGGATCTCTCCTCGCAGGACCAACTTACACTTCTGCCTCTATTGGTGAGTCAGGTGTCAGGGGGCTGCGCAGCTCCAGGGACCAGGGCAGGAAGGGGAGGGCTCCTGCTGGGGCTTCCCCTCCCCAAGGGCTGGCCCAGCCTCACCCCACTCTCCTAGCTCACACAGTTAATGTCCTGATCCCTCCCCTGTTTTTGTAGTACTGAGGATGGAACCCAGGGCCTTCACACTGGCCCACACCTCCAGCCCTTTTTAATTTTTATTTTGAGACAGTGTCTCTCTAAGTGGAAAAGCTGCCCAAGTTGGGCTTTAGGAAATGGATATCCTCCTGCCTCAGCTTCTCAGAATGCTGGGATGACAGGTGTGTGCCACCACACTCGCTCGCTAGCCTGGGCCCTCTTAGCCATGCTTATTCTTTCCAGTGGTGGCTTCTGAACATCGGCCTTGCTCCACACTCTCTGTTCCTCCCTGTGCCACCCCTGCAGTCTGTGTCCCAGCCTGGCTTCCCTCCAGGAGGAGGGTGGGGCCGGGCCTCTGCGTCCCCTGCCCTGAGCCGCTGGCTGTGTTCCAGGCCTTCCGTGTACTGGACAGAGCGCTTTCTCGAGGACACCACCCTGACTGTCACGGTGCCTGGTAGGTGAGGAGTTCCCAGGGTGGCCTCTGCCTGGCCCGGGGCCTGGTCTCACTGTCTGTGTTGGCCACTGGCTGCCAGGCCTGGGGACAGAGAAGGGACACCCACTTGCCTTCTCCAAAGGGTTGGGTTCCCACTGGAATTCTGGGTCTCTGAGCAGCTGGAGCCCTCGAAGATGGGTCATGGGTGTGGGGTGCAGGCTGGCTCTCGGGGGTCGAGGCCACAGGGTCAGTGAGATTGAGATGACTGTCCACCAAGTTGGGGCCACTTCCAGATGTTGAGGGTATTCCGTGGCACACGGGTCCCCATGTGGCTTAATTGTCAGGTGGATATCTCCACGTTTCCTAGTGTGCTTGTCCTGCCCCCAGCAGCCTACAGCGCCTGCACCCCTGGTCTTTCTTAGCCATCACCTGGCTGTCCGAACAAGGCCTTCCCCGGGGTTGTTCTTCTCCCCTGGCCTTTAGGCACCTCCTTTTAGGGATTTCTCTTCTCTACCTCCTGTGAGGCCCATATTGACCCTTTCCCCCTGAGTCTTAAACCCCAACTCTAACCTGCTGGAAACCCTGGGCCACTGTCCCTAGAGGGGTAGCAGAGGTCTGTGCCCAGCTGTTCCTTGGGTTAGACAGAGCTCCTGCCCTGGCCATGGCTGGTGCCACAGAGTAACAGAAGCTGAGGTGTGTTGGTATCTGGGGTGATGGGACCCAACCCCCTCTGTGCAGCCGTGTCCCACCGTGTGGAGGAGTTGGCGCGGCCCAGGAGGTTCTACCTAGAGTATTTCAACAGCTGCAGGTGAGGTGAGGGTCGGGGCTCTGCCAGTAGAGAACCCTGCCCTGCCCCCTCCGTGAGCCAGGGGGTGGGGGGGGCAGGCCCAAGTGTCCTGGACTCCTCTCTGGATGCAGTTTCCAAGCTCCACATTCTCAGGTTCCCCTGGTCCCAGAAGTGGATGCCGAGCAGAATCCTTGCATGCATGGGGTCCCCGGATTCCCCCACCCTAGGTCTCAACTGTGGCTACCCCCAGGGCCTCTCCCATCTGGCCTGTCCCTCGGACCAGCCTGGAGTACCGTGCGTCAGGCCGGCTGAAAGAGCTGGCTACCCCTAAGGTCCGCAAAAACATCTGGAGCATCAAGATGTCAGAGGTAGGTGAGGTTCACCATGCATGCAGGAGGGGCCAGCCGCTCTTGGGTGTCGGGCCAGGGGCCAAGAGGCTGCAGGCTCAGCAGGAAGCTGCTTTCCTCTCTCTTGGTCCTCAGGACTGTGTGGCCTCCATTGTTGGCCTACAAGATTTTGATTACTGAGGGCTTCTCTCTTATAGCGCTGGCCCACTTTCTCATTGGAATTTCTTGCTATTAATTTGCAGGAACTCTTTATATATGACAGCTACAGATCCCTGCAAATAGCCTTCTTTGTTGGTCTTGTGTGTTTGTGCTGTTCATGGGGTCTTTCTATTCCAGGGCTTGTGAGGACTTATGAGTTGCTTCACTCTGTCCCCTCCATTCCTGTTTCAGGTATCCCGGGTGTCTAGGGCAGCCCAGACAGCAGTCCCCAGCTCACGGATCCTTCAGTTGGCCAAGCCCAGGGCTCCAGTCACACTTTTGGCAGAGTGGGACCTCATGCCCAAACCCAAGGCCTATGTGTCAGACTACGGCCGCCTCCTCCAGCTGGCCAGTGAGTAGACACGTGGGCTGGGCTCCTGCCATGTCCTTGAGGACATGAGGTGGGGGCTCAGGTACCTTGGGTTTGAGACCTGCTCCTGCCAGGCAGCTCTTTCTCTCCCTGCCTCTCTCCCAAAACTGCAAGCTGTTGTCAAGTGGTGTGGACAGATTGCCCCAGCTGGCCCAGGCCAGGGGGACCCCAGCCCAGGCCAGGGGTACCCCACCCTACAAGGGTAGGCAGGGGCAGAGTACCTGGCAGAGGGTCTCCTGTCAGGGACAGAGGAGGAAGCCAGGCAAAGGGCAGGAGCCAAGGGTCAGGTGAAGGTCAGGTGTCTACCGGGTCCGCCCTGTGCTTGAGACAGCAAAGGCACCTTCTCAGCCATAGGACAGCGCTCTGACCCGTGCAGGAGGGTTCTATATGCAGAAAGGAAGGAACAAGAGTGGCAGTGGCAAGCCTAGCAACAGGGAGGCTGAGGCCCCAGGATTGCTGCAACTTCAAGGCCAGCCTGGGCTACAGGGTGGTTGGCTGGTGACAGACAGGGGTTTGGTGACTTCAGTGGAGTCTCCCGCTGACCCCACCACTGGAACGGCACACAGATGTGTGTAGGCGAGGCTGGGTGGAATGCAGGCCCCTGTGTCTAGGCAGTGCTCTAGCCCGTGGCCAGCACACTCGCCGAGTGGTAGGCTTGGGGGTCCGTCTGTGTCACCGTCCTCCGTGAATTCACCGGTGTGCTGTTTGTGCCACCACCTTGTGCCTCTGTTCATCTAGGAGCAGCTCTGGCTCTGAGGAGCTGGGAGAGGAGCCCTGGAGCCTCGTAGACCTGAGGCCCAAACCCCAGACTAAAGGGAGATGCAGTCCTGTTGATGTAGTGTGGGGGTCACACCCTGGATGGGAGGAGGGGGTAGGAGAAACAGATATCCCTTCTGCTATACCCTGCCCACCATGAACCAGAGTGGAAGAAAGTATGGCAGGAAAAGGCCTGGGGAGATGGTTGAGTAGAATAAGTGCTTCCCTGGCAAGCGCAAGGGCCTGAGTTCAATTCCTGGTTCCACAAAAAGAAAAAAGAAAAAAAAAAAAAAAAAAGAATGACAGGAGACAGGTAAACTCCTCCTCCCCTAGGAAGACCTGAATTCCCTTGCTCCTGTGAGACTGGATTCTTAGCTGTGTGTAGGATGGAATCAGTGTTGGGCTGGTCTGTCTGTCTCTTTCTTTCTTTCTTTCTTTCTTTCTTTCTTTCTTTCTTTCTTTCTTTCTTTCTCTCTCTTTGTGGTAATTTTGAGGCAGGGTCTTACTAGTTAGCCCAGGCTGGACTTGAACTCATGATAATCCTCCTGCCTCTGTGCACAGGGATTGCAAACATGCACACCAGGCAGGACTATGCGCTGCTTCTTGAGCCTGCAGGTGACAGTCACCTCTTCTTCTGAGCCCTCCAAAGAGCAGGGTCTCTGTTCTGGCTTCAAGAATTCTACCACTTGGCTGAGGGTTCTTGCTCAGGAATCACAGACAGGCCATGCGGAGCTTTTTCACTGTTGGCGGCCTGGGCTTGGATGCCGGCGGCCCTCAGCACTTGGTGCTAAGCTGCCCTGGGCTCGGAGCCGCTGCTGGCACCCGGGGACCCTCCCCGCCCCCACAGATGGCAGCTTCTGGCTCTGCAGTGTTGCCCTTAGTCCCTCCATGCTGCCAGCCAGCGTCTAAGCAGCCAGCAGCTGGCTGCTTTGGGGACTGGCAACACTCAGTGCTTCCAGCCTGGAGGGCCGTGGCTCAGTGTGTGCTGCCTGAGGTAGAAATCACAAATAGGAAAAAGTACCCTACACGGAAGAGGCTTTGTTATCACTTAGGATGGGCCACTGGGGGACAGCACACAGAGGGACCTGGTAAGGTGGGAAAGGGATGCTTATACGGGAAGAAGGAGCTCATGTGTGGCCCTGGGTCGGGGAGGGGACCCTCGTGGACCTGACTGAGGAGGCCACAGCATGCTGTCACCTGGGACAGGTCTATGCTTGAAGTCTGCCATGGCCAGAGCAAGTGTTCCTTGGAAAAGCCATGCGGGAGCCTGGCATAGCCACACTGATGCCTGCTTTGGGGGTCCCCCCCCCGAAAAATAAAAAAGTATCTCTTAGGAAGTATTGGGCCCTTCTCTCCTGTCTCACTCCTGACCAGCACCTGAGATCTCCTTTCTGGTAATTGTGGGCAACTGAAATATTCTTTCTTTACACTTTACCTTATAAGAGAATGGCTTTAAAAAAAAAAAAAATGGGGGGCCTGGCCCTAGCTCAGGCCTTTAAGTGGCTGCTTCCACAAAGCTGTCAGCTCAGGTTGCTGGAGTTCGAACCTCACACCTCTCCCGCTGGCCAAACGTGCCCTGAAGGCATTCAAGGAACCAAAAAAAAAAAAAAATGTATTTGGTACAGGGTCTCATGACACAGCTCGGATTCATAGTGCAACATCATGCCCAATCTCAGTGGCTGGCACAGGACACCCAGGGACAGAGCTGGTGCAGCCTGTGGTGCTGGGGACCGAACCCTGGTCCCTGCGCTTGCCTAAGCAGGTGCTTAGTCTGCTGAGCTAATCTGCTGGTCCATGAGGGTGACTTTTACTATCTTCAGAGTTGTGCGACCACCATCTCTGTCTAGTTCCAGATCAGTTCTACACTCTAAAAGTAACGCCATCCCTGTGAGCAGTCACCTGTCTCCTCTCCAGCTCTAGCACCCAGAGGCCACCTCCTGCCTCTGGAGCTGCCTGTCCTGGGCGTTTCCTGTCCGGGGAGCCCACACTGTGCATCCTCTGTGTCTGGTCTTTCACTGAGCGTGGCATCTTCAAGGTCCCTCCACACAGTGGAGTGTGTCAAACCTTCACTCCTTTTTCTGGCTGAGTAGTATTCCAATGTGGAGGCAGACCATGCTCTGTGTCTTTCCTTCATCCACGGACAGGCCATTTGAATTTGGAGCTATGGCTCAGAAAGCTCCAGCGCTGTCCCTCTTTCCTTTCCCTCTAGTGCCTAAGACCCAGTCAGAAAAGTGTGTTCCTGACCGTAGTCCTCGCTGGGAGGTGCTGGACATCACCAAGAAGGCTGTGGCCAGTCCACGGATCATCTCCTTGGCCCAGCCCAGAGTCCGCAAGGACCTCAATGAGGAATACAACCCCTACTACATCTCCCCGGCCTCCCTGGTGGCTCAGGCATCCCCACGCCTGTATGAGCTTGCTACCCCCAAAAGCATTACCAAGAAAGTGTGACCGGGTGCCTCACCTCCCAGCGCACTCCCAGTAAACACCCAAGTGCATCCTGCCTGTGTACGTGTTTGCTCTGGGCTCTGAGGCCAGGGAGGGGCTGGGGGTAGCCTGCTGGCTGAGGCTGAAAATAATAATGTTGAATTTTCACATCCTGTGGTCTGTGCAGCCCTCTTATTTGCGGGGTCACTGTCTTTGGTCCTGCCAAGTGAGCACCTCTTGGGTCAAACTTTGCTGCTTTACTTCAGAATTTTCCCTCCTGGGTGCCCCAGTGTACTTCAAACTCAGGACAGCATCTCTAGTAATCTCTCCACCAGACTCCCTGATTCTCACGGCTACCAGCAAGTAGGGACGATGGAGTCTGAGGTCCAAGAGGTTAGAATAGGCCATGGAGCCCATTAGGGTTCCGGAGTCCATGAGTTGAAATCCTTGTCTCCCCAAAGCATGGTAGCACATGGCTGTAACCCCAGCACTGGGAGCTGAGATGGGAGGATCACCATGAAATTGTGGCCAGCTTGTGCTACACAGTGAGTTTCAGGCCTGGAGGACTATATAGGGAGATCCTGTTTCAAAAAACCCAAATAAATAAATAAATAAATAAATAAATAAATAAATAAATAAAAAAGCAAGCTTTCTCTGAGAAGTGGTAGTCACAGGTGGGTACTGCTGGCTAATGTGAAGGATCCTGTCTCAAAGCAAAAGAGCAATTGGAAAAAAGAAGACTTTATTCTTGAGATTGAAAAGGTTCACCAGGTCCCAAGAAATAGCACAGTGGGTGGCACCAAGGTGATTGATAAAGAGAACCCATTGGACTAAGCACCTGCTTAGGCAAGCAGAGGGACCAGGGTTCGATTCCTGGCACCATGCCCTGCGCCAGCTCCACCCCTGAGCTCGGTGAGCCTGCCACTGAGAGAGACAGAGAGACAGAGAGACAGACAGGGAGACAGAGAGCCCATTGAGTACCAGAGATGAGAATAGCACACTCAGCCTGAAGCCGTCACCTTCTTCGGGGCGCCCTGCTCAGCTCAGAGTCTGGTATCTGTGGACATAACCACACACAGCCCAACTGTGGACAAAGGCACAAGATACCTGTTTCTGAACATTTGTGAATCAACGGAAACTTCCCAAGGAAACTGAGTGAGGATTCTTTCCAACCAACTGAAAGCAAATGGAGAAACCACAGGAAGAACAGGCGACGAGAGCCGGAATCCATCTGAGTTGAGGATTGGCATTAAATCAGACCCGAGAAGAATGGCTGTGAATGTAAAGGCCATAAATCTTGATGTTAGAGAAATAGTGACTTAAAGGATTGATCATAAAAAGTAGAGAGGGGCCAGGGAGGTAGCTCAGCAGCACAGGCCAAGTCTGATGCCCAGTACCAAAAAATAAGAAAGAAGCAGGGAACTTTTCGTCTGGCAGCCATCAGGTAAGCCAAGACGGGTGCGCACAAGTACACCCAGGAGCTGGGCAGGAAGAAGCAGTCCCGTGATGTGCTTTCTGCTGCAGGTCCGCTGCTGGCAGCACCGTTGACGCTCCTCAGGGCCCCTCCCCCCACCTGGCCGGACAAAGCTCGCGGACTGGGATACAAGGCCAAGCAAGGGTGTGTCATATACAGGATTCGTGTGCGCCGTGGTGGCTGCAAACGTCCAGTTCCTAAAGGAGTGACTTAGGGGCAAGCCTGTCCATCATGGTATTAACTGGCTGAAGTTTGCACAAAGCCTTCAGTTTGTTGCTGAGGAGCAAGCTGGATGCCACTGTGGGGCTCTGTGAGTGCTCAGTTCTTACTGGGTTGGTGAGGATTCCACATACAAATTCTTTGAGGTTATCCTTATTGATTCATTCTACAAAGCCATTAGAAGAAATCCTGACACCCAATGGATCACCAAACCAGTCCATAAGCACAGGGAGATGCACGGGCTGCTACCTGCAGGCCGCAAGAGTCGTGGCCTTGGAAAGGGCCACGAGTTCCACCACACTATTGGTGGGTCTCACCGTGCAGCTTGGAGACTGGCGCAGTACTCTCCAAGCCCACCAATACTGCTAATAACATAAGTGATGTTTGTGAAATTCATAACCCAATAAACAATTTAGGACAGTTTAAAAAAAAAGAAGTAGGGATATTGATGTCTCTCAGATCAGAAGGGGATTAAGAAATGCAGGGAAGGGGCTGAGGAGATGGCTCAGTAGAATAAGCGCTTACTTGGCAAGTGCAAGGGCCAGAGTTCAATCCTCTGGTTCTGTAAAAAGAAAGAAAGATAGATAGATAGATAGATAGATAGATAGATAGATAGATAGAAAGAAAAAGAAATGCAGAGAAGGAGGAGGGAGTGGCTAGGTAAGGGGTACACACCTGTAACCCCAGAACTTTGTTTTTTTTTTTTTTTAATTTTTTTTATTTGTGTGTGTGTGTGTGTGTGTGTGTGTGTGTGGCCAGCTCAGCCCACCAGGGGGCGGGGCTGGCTGGCATGTGGTGCTGGGGGATTGAACCGTGGTCCCTGTGCTTTGTTTAGCTTAGCTTGTTCTAAGTAGGTGCTTTAGACTACTGAGCCATCTCACCAGCCCCAACCCCAGAACTTTGAAAGCTGAGGCAGGAGGATCACTGCAAGTTTGAGGGCTATACAGGGAAACCCTACCTTAAATAAATAAATAAATAAATAAATAAGGGAGGGATGAGGATGGAAAGAGGATGTCAGGTGTGTGTGTGTGTGTGTGTGTGTGTGTGTGTGCCCACCCAGGCCACATGGGGAAGGTGATGCAGAGAAATGGTGTAATGATCAAGAATTAAGTAATAAACTCAAAAGAAGAAATAAAAATAGAAAGGTATATTAAAAGGAAAGCTAGAACTTGATTAGACAATGAAGAGAGGGCAAGGAGAAAACCTAGGAAACATGACAGGGGCAAAGCCATACATTTATGTACACAAGATGGATAAGGCAATGATCCTGAGAATCTCAATGATCCTGAGAAGATTTTTGAATCTAGCAGTTAATTGGAAAGATTCTCATCCTGACTAACTATATACGCTGATACCTGTGAACTAAGCAACTGCACTGAAGATGGTAATGTGTAATGGTAGGGTCATGCTTGGAGTGCCTGTCATTCTGGTCTTCTAAATATGTACTGTTTGTCATGACAGATCAATTACTGCTATACTGTCTTTCAAGTACATGTTTTTTTTTGTTTTAAAAAAAGGTAATAAATGAAAAAAGAGACAAGAAAAAATGTCACAAGACTGTCCTGCTATAATGCTGTATATGGTTAGATTTCTAAATTTCTGTGTAAAATATGTAACTTTATTCTTATTTTTAAAAATATTTTTGGGGCTGGTGAGATGGCTCAGTGGTCTAAAGCATCTACTTAGAACAAGCTTCGCAAAGCACAGGGACTGCGGTTCAATCCCCCAGCACCACATGCCAGCCAGCCCCGCCCCCTGGTGGGCTGAGCTGGCCACACACACACACACACACACACACACACACATAAATAAAATTAAAAAAATATTTTTAAAAATTTTTTCCTTCATATTCTGTAGGGACTTAAAGTTTAACATATCAATACTTGATGGAAAATACCTGTTCCATGTTATACCTAAGATGTTTGATATTCACACAGTGAGGTTAAGTTCAACTGCCTATGTTGTAGGGTAATAATGATAAACATCTTTTCTAGAAGGTTAACAACCTAAGTTTGCAGACCAAAAATTAGAGAAAAAGAAGGGCTGCAAGGTCAGCCAACATTTTGGTCCTAGCCTTTCAAGGTCAGTGAAGATTCAGGACATAGGAGAACCTGTACTGTAACATCCTGCAACTCAGTTGTGTCCCAAATTTTTCTGATCAAGGAGATTATGGGGCCAAAGAGGAAAGTGATCAATGATGTAAAGTGTGCCTAAGGAGAGTCACATGGAGAGAAAACATTCTCTCAGGATTTCACAGAGAGCAAATTGGTCAAGCAATGGCTGTGACTCATCCACATGGCTGACACTGACAAAGGATCTATAAACTGCGGTACAGGGTTTCAGGATAAATCCTGAGGGGATCTGACTGAACTTATCAGATACAAAAGTTACATTTCGTTATATAGGTCTTGCTTTATCTTGGTCTTAACCATCCAGCAGAAAAGTATAAAAATGAAGTATAAAAAGTAAAGCCATATTAATATGCTGAGCTGTAAAAGGCTCAAGTCAACAACTTCTGACATTGCCAGTCTTATGGAAAACCAACTACTATTACGGACTACTGGACTATGTTGGAATATTTTGCTGAATTCACACACCTACAATATTTAAATGACAATGGAATACCCTTCTCTGACAAAACTAAACAAGAAAGGGGGATACAAATGAAGGACCATTTTGTATCTGTATATTCAAAATAGGATAGATATACAGTTGCATTCTCTTAATTCAATGACTAGAGATTTGTTCTAATAGTGTTCGTGGACAGGATATCATGTCTGCATCTTGTACAATGAATAACCACTAAGACGACAATATGCAATGTATTAATTATTGAAATTAATTGTGCTAGTAATTGGTTTTGAAACCATGTCATTGCTATTTGTTTCACAATAAAATTATTAAAAATATAGAAGAAGAATTGAGGCCAGCCAAATAGTTCAGCAGATTAAAGGCCCTGAAAGTAGGTGCAGGGGCAGGGGTTTGATCCCCGGGCCTGTGCCTGTGGTGCTGGCCCGCCCCCAGAGCGCAATGACCCAGCAATTGAGACTAGGTGTGGTGGCACATGCTTGTAATCCCAGGTCTTGGGAGGCTGTAAGCAGGCAGATCACTACAAGTCCAATCTCGTAATGAGACCCAGAACACCCTGTAGACCCTTCCCTAAAATACAAAAAATAAAAATAAAAATAAAAAAAAATCAAGTATTGAGGGGCTGGAGAGGTTAAGTGATAGAATCTGATGGTAAAGACTAAAGATGAGGCTGGGAGGGTGGCTCAGTGGAAGAAGTGCTTCCCTGGCAAGTGCAAGGGCCTGAGTTTAATCCCTGGTTCCACACACACACACACACACACACACACACACACACACACACTAAGGAAATTAACTAGAAGTTAACTAGAATTTTGTAGTCTGGAAGAGGAATGTGTGTTGACATCAT